CTTTATTTTCTAAAGTAAAAGTAAAGTACCACCCCTAGTTAAAAGCAGATTGTTTTTGCTTTTGTTTTTTTTACAAGAGGCAGATGCCCGAAAAGCGATCCTGAGTGTTGAAAGTTTTCGAATATTGAATATTTTTTTGGTTTCATGGCGACGGCTGAAAGTCTTAACCTTTTTTTAACTTTCGGTGGCAAAGCGGCTAGATCTCTCTAACGTCGGCTGCAGTGGCTGAGATATTTAAAAAATTTTTGCAGCAATCGGTGGTAACTCAGTCGCTCGGCTTACACATCTCTACTCACATGTATCTGTGTTTTCCATGACAGAATAAGATTTCCATGATACCACTAAAAGTTTTAAGATTAATTCGTATTTAGTCACTTGTTTGGGTTGCCCATCTATCATCAATATTAACTCTTAAATGACTATACGAAAATAAAATGCAATAAGCTGTCAAAAAATATGTCAATCAATGCATGAAAAGAAATGAAAAGACTGTAAACAAAATATCACTTACTACTATAAGTGAAAAAGAAAAATTATACTATCATACAAGGAATAAATAATTAAATGAACAGTTCTCCCAAACGAATGCGAAAGTTAACACAAATAATACAAAGATGAACAAAATAGAAGTGAACAAAAAAAACGAAAAAATATACATTTTAACATGTATATCAACGATTGGATCATTAAATTAACTTTTACAAACTTGAAATATATTTTTTTTAATTTAGGCTTGTCTAACCGAAGAACTGATGCCTAGGAAAGGCCTATCAGTACAAAAAATTTTTCGATCCTCCACCAAGGAACGAGAAACAGAGGGAGAAGTTATAAGGGGAGCGAAACATTAGAGAATGAAGTGAAATAAAATAAAATAAAAAGGATAAGATAAGATAAGAATGTATTGAGAAGGATTGAAAAGATCAATGCCAGATAAACTTACATGCCGCATAAGAGATAACTGAGAGAAAGAATGGAAGTGCGATAAAACAAAGATTAAACAAACCAAGTTAAAGAAGTAGCCATTCAGAAGACAAGCATAGTTAGAATGTTCCGGGATAGGCATTTAGCAATTCGATATCATCATATGGAATCTGTGCTATCGTGTCGGATTGGGGATTATCATCATACCAGGATAAGTACTTTTGCAAAACTGATTCATGATCAACGAATCTTTTCGATCGACAGAGTCCTAGTACTCTCTGTCTGCCACTGAGTCAGATCTTGCTGTGTGAATTAAGAATCAGTTGTTCTCTAAGCAAATCATCGTCTTTAGATGAGTCAAGTGCTCTTAAATATTTAATTCAATATCTCGTGCATCTATTTTCGAGAGAAACTTCATTCAGAGTGAATGCGAAAAAGAAATTTCACCAACTTGAAATATTTACTGAGAATCGCGATGTGAGAATATCGAAGTTATTTAGAACTCGAGTACTCGATATACTAAATTATTATTCTATAGCGATAACGATTCACGATATCTTAGATTATACTGTCAAGAGAGATCAGACAAACAAAACTCATAAAGGCGCGTTTTTTTTTTCATGTCTCCATCATAAAATTAATATTGTCCTATTAGCTTCTCTAATATGGAATGATTTATGTCAAGTGTATTTTAAAACTGTCTCACGATGCATTGCAAAAAAAGTTAACCAATCATATGATTGTTTGAAAATATTTATTTATGCAAAATATATGAAATTAATCTCAATAATGGAAGAGGACAAAAAAATAATATGAAATATTATCAACTTTGATACATAACTCTTTTATTCGTCTAGTTCGATTAAAATCAACGAATGTAAGACGAAACGCAAAGATTTCTCTCTTATCACGATCATTATAAACGTGTATTGACATTAACTAACTAGGCAAACAAATCGTTATATTTTAATCAATTCTATTCTGTCCACATAGTTTATTCATATGTGAAGTGATTTAGAAAAACGTAATTAATTTTCCGGTGTATCATTATTAGACTTGTTTTTACTTCTTACAATGTCGAACTTTAATATATCCAATTCTGCATTATTTTTGTTTTTGCTACTTTTTGATAATATAATCTTCACAACTTCCAATACTTATTTGTACCAACATGAAAGTATAATAATTTGAATAGTTCTAAGAAAAATCGATGGTCAAATAAATCAGCAACGCATCTTAAATATGATAAGAGTATTAATGATATGACAAACATTTCTTCACATTCTACTGATGACGAGTTTCTTAATAATATAGAAATAATCATAAAGAATAGAAAAACTCCTCTTGAAAATTTCTATAATCGTACAACTATTAGAAACATGAAAGAAAGAAATATAGCGATACCTATGCTCCATCGTAAGTAGATTGCAATCAGAATTCCATCTCTTCTACTTTTTCATATGAGAAATTCCGATGTATTTTGTTATCGAAACTATTGAAACAATAAAATCTGTTCATATTAATAAACAACTACCATGGAAAGAAGCAACAAATTATTTTAACCTATTGAAATACCAAGAGACACAAAACAGCAGTTTTTTGTATTGTTTCTACTTTTCTGACTTGAGAAGATAATAGTCGTGATCATAAACAAATTTAAACATTGAGATAAATGATACATATGCAAGTTAAACAAATAGATAATAGAAACTGGCATAATCTCGCACATATAAAGGAAAAAAGTATTTACATATCTTTAAGAATATCCTGGTTTTTTTAATGATTCTTTAAAAAAAATGATTTGTCTTTCTAATGAAAAAATCATGCCGGTCTATAGATAGGAATTTTTACATCAGGTGTATTCATATAAATATAAGTTATTGAACTAAAAATCCAATATTTTAACGAATCTCAAAGCACAAATTCGTTAAATACAGGTTGATTTACATAAAAAAATGGAAAAACAAGTTATTATTGAAGATAGTAAAATGGGTTCAAGAAAATATGTTATCTTAGCTGATCTTTCCGCGTTAATACATTACTCTGCTTTTAAGCACGATAAGATTCATAAAATTTTTCGTACAAAGAGGTAAAAACGCGTTGTTTTAGAAAAATTTTATGCGTTTTAAAGTGCTCAAGTATTTCAAACGCATTTTTTAAAGGAATCTTGTATGATTTGATGTTTGCCATCGTCCTTATCGAATAGAAGTTTTTTTTCGAAAAACAAGTTTATGTTATATTCAATCTGATACGAAGTAGATGAAAAGAATCAAGCAAAATATGGCATTATTTATTTTGGTAGACGTCACTTTCTTATATTCTGCCATTTCATTCATTGTTCATAGTTATTCTTGTATTTGAATAATTTTAAATAGAATTATGAAATTAGCAGAATAGTTTAAATCAACATACAAGGATCTAGAATAGTTGTTCGTACAAACAATTGCGCGCGAACACTTGCTCGCTGTGCAGACTTTTACAAAAATTTGGAATAAAATAGCGAAAGAACAATGACACAATAAATTCATTTTATATGAGAAAATGATCATTATCATACACTAATTGATCTAACTGTTCCAATATTTTTGAAATTGATGATTCTAATATAATGACAACTTATAATCAACAAAATAGGATGTGAGTATGGAGTGGTTGGATGTAATCGTCGATCTTGTGTTTATTCACATCCACAACCACACTCTGTTGTTCAAGTTTTTCGATAATATCCTCTGTATGATCTCTCATAATATTATTGATTTTTTTTTTTGAATTACATATTCACTCTACTTTATACATCGCGAGCAACTGTTCGTTTTTCAATACAATATGCGCATCAGTACTGCTATCAATTAAATGTTGTATAATATTTATTGATTCATATTTTTTTTGAAGGTACTCGATTCATTCTAATGTTGTTCTTGTGAGGTAATAGGTAAACTTACATAATCTTTCATATCATCTCGATTAATATCGATCTAGAAGACAAGAATTAGTTTTTGTTTAATTGCTTAAAAGAAACCAACGATAGATATAGATTCTGGATGGCTGATAAAATTTCACTAAATGTAATATAATCGGACATCTTTTTTTTTTCGATATAACATCTATCTGTTACTTCTGATTTTACTTACTGTCATCTTGTGCAATAAAACATAGGATATATATTCGAAAACAAGCTCGATATCTTATTCTTGATTATTAACAAATACTAATTCACACATTAATCGTAATACTTCAAGCATATGAATATAATTATACACCGGACAATTATAGTCGACGGTGTACATACTTTTAATGTACATGAAAATATTTTAATGTATTTTAAAAACGTGATAAGTAAGATATATAAAACAAAATTATACTTTATCAAAAAGTCTAATGAGAAAAACGACTGATGAGGAAACTTGCCCAACTGTTTAACAGCTTTTCACTTGAGACTGTTGTCACTCCATCGGTCATAATCATTAATGAAAAAGTCTGTTTAAGTTTGAATTTCTAGTTTTCCTTTATTGAGTTATGAATGTTTTACTCAACTGTTGCCTCATGAACATCGAATCATTGCGAACTTGGATGATCAAATTTCGAGCTGAAATTTTGTCCATAGATAGGTCTTATAGTTACTAGAAATGCTCCACTGTTTGAGCTAGAATAAACATATCTCTATGAAGATATCAGCCTATCATAGAAATATCTTTCTGTTAAAACACACCCCAAAATAAACGTTTCTTTATAATGTAAATATCTTAGCAAAAATAAGTTTATTCTAGCTCAAAACATGGGATGTTACTTATGTCTGTAAGGCCTATTTATAATCAAAATTTCAGCTTGAAATTCGATTATCTAAGTCCACAGCGATTCTATGTCTATAGAGCTAAAATCAAGAAAAACACCCATAATTCAACAAGGGAAAACTGGAAATTCAAACCAAAACAGACTTTTTTACTTTTTATTATGGTCAACCAAATAGCAATAGTCTCAAGTCAAAAGGAGTTTCAATAGTTGGAAATATTCTCTCGTGAGATCCATGTAAATATTTTTCGTACATAAGAAAAAAAAAGATAAATAAACAAAGGAAAAACCTAACAATAAATCCATTCCGGATGATCCTTTGGTCGACATCGTTTTGGACATTGTCCAAATGGCATTCTTCCATAACCACAACATGGCCGTACACAACCTATAAAACAATTCGTTTCATTAGCTGACGGTCGTTGTGTTGGAAATGGATCTGCACGATGTCCAAATCCATGTACACACAAAAAACTATCATGTGCAAGAGCACTTGCTTTTGCAACGGGCCAAATATGAGAAGAAAGAAATCCTTGATCACCACGACCACCATAACGTTTAATTAATTTTTCATTGTGAATTTTATCGTGTATTATACGAGATAAATTTCGATTTAATGATGGTCGAAAACCCCACATACCACCAAGCATAGGTACGCCATGCATAGGATGATCACGCATTGTGTGAAATGATTTATTCGAAGCGAGCCATGCATCAACAGCTTCACGTTCTCGTTTTGTTAATGCTGAATCAAGATCACGACTCATCACTAAATAAACATATGAGATTAAAATATATTTTAAATGATTCAATACTATATAGTATGTAAGATAATTATTTGGACACCATGTCATACTTATCTTGTGCGATATATTTTCTAAAGAAGATAAAAATAGTTTCTCGACTCTCATAACCATTCGGTAGAGCGAAATTTCTAGTTTACTTTACACAAAAGAATTTTCTTTCAAGGACGTTTTCATCAATTTTTTGGAAGGTTTTCAATAAATTGCTTGATTTATTATGCAAAAAATTATTTGAACACTTGTAATTTTCTTTTTTTATAACGCTTTTATTCTGCATCAAAATAATTTGAGTTATATATTATTCGATAGAAAAAATATTAAAAGACCTTT